TTCAGTCCAACAGCTGAAACAGCACTGAATATAAATCAGTCTCTGATTTTGCCTCACTGTTGTTGTTCTGTTTGTGCTGGAGATTTAGTGACGGGGGAGTGAGTGGGAGTCTCTGGCCTCTCCCTGGTGTCTTTTATAGGTCATTAATCAGCAATAAATGTTAAAGCTATTTGTCCAGAGGGGATATTTTACTCACCTTGTGTCTGTATGGTGACCTATGAAGTGATTGATGCTGTTTTTGCCCACACATTAAACACAAAGGCATGTTCACACACTTATAAAGGTACACAAAGACTAAGATGCACCACTTCAAGATTTAGATTTAAGATCAAGTTTGTATACGCAAAAAGCTCAACCACTGGCTTCTATGAAATCTGAACGAGACAGATTGAGACCAAGACAACATTTTATCCAGCGGTAATCGCCCAACTTGGTAGCAAAAACAAACTTGCATATGAGAGAAGGCATTGTGTTCAATGTCAGCAGACTGTTCATGCCTGTGGTGGTTCATCATAAAATATAAGAACTCTCTTGATCTTAAAGAGATAAAGGGCCTGGAGACAAATATTTGCCTTTTATTCTGTACTAATCTAAATGATTTATAATGGATGTAACGCTCTTTATAACTTAATTTTGATCTGTTTATCAACCCCAGAAATGAAAGGAGAAATTCCAGAGAGCTACATTACTCAACGTTAATTAGATTTCTAAAGTTTAATGTGTACTCACTCACTCATTTTGGGAAATAAATATTGTTTGGAATAAGTCAATCGAAAAAGCTTATATTAATCAAAATGCTTAGGAACATAAGAACACCTTCTGCTCACAGAGAGATCAATGGACTCAATCCCAGCTGCTTCAAGTTTCAAGGCTTTATTGTCATTTGCACATTAGCTACATTGTAGATATGGCAATGAAAAACGTAGGTCACAGGCTCCTCCAACTGTGCAACATATATATAGGACATAGAATAGTACAAGAGAATGTTTGGAGATGTGCAAGAATGTAAATACACATAAAATAGAATAGAAATAGTGCAAAAATAGTCTATATACAAGTCAATTGAATGATATATTAGATACATTATTTGCTAAATGCAAACAGATGAATGTTTATGAATGTTTATGGAAAAGTTCAGGTGTTTAATAGTCTTATGGCCTGTTGGATGAAACTGGACTAGTAATTGGTCAAAAGCAGTCAAGAGCCCAGAGTCAATTTGAGGTTGTTGTGCAACCAGAAGAGGTTTAAGGGTGGTGGTAGGCATATTTTAATTAGACAGAGGTGACCTTTGGCATATTTCCCAGAATGTCAAACTATTCCTTTAACATGATAATCAGTGTGGCTTTTGCTGTCCTGAATCTGCTGTGTCAGTAGGTGCCATAGGGTTAAACAGGCTTTAAAGTAGCCACAGCAGGACACGGCTACATCACTTTAATGACTTGAGGGTAAAAAATAAAAATGGAGGAGGCTATTTATCTGAATAGAAATATCAGTAGAAAAATAGGATATTTACACATTCTGCACACCGAAGGCTAAGTGGATCAATTCTGTTGAGAAGGTACGCTGTCCTGTCTGATCTGTTCCAGGGGAGTGTGGATTAAAACAGGTCAGGGTGGGGGGGTCAGCAAAGAAACCTGAGGTCAAAAGTCAGAGGCAAGAAAGAACTCTGCATTCCAACTGACTGCTGCCATGCACACACACACATACAAACACACACACACTTTGCCAATGATATGAAGCATGACTGCTATATCTTTACCAAAAACCCTCTTTTCAAGCAGTAGTAAAAACTCACAACAAATCCAAAGAAGGGAATGTTACGTACGTAGAATGATGGGAATCTACTACAGCAACAAGATATGTTGTGCGATATTATCAGTGTTGCTCTCCAGACTACCTATATGAGGGTTGGATCAACATTGAATCAGAGGAGAATGTGCTCTGACTCTTAATGATGTGATATTTGTTCAAAAGTCTCTATTGGATTTGTTATCTGCTGTGACCAGTTATTATGACAATTGCGCATCGGAAAACTATGCATACAGAGTTTTAGGACCAATGTTCTCACTGTTTCTTTGTATGGCACATTGTGTTTCTACACGTGTCTTATTGGTGTGTGCTGCAACACATTCTTAAGAGGGCAAGGCAGGACATGGGGATATTTGTAATCATTGCTTAATAATCTGTTTGGTTATTTTAGTCACATTTATGGGTCGACTGGATAGGACACAATCACACATGAAACCCGCCCAGAAATATTGTCTGTATCCTGGTGCTCATACATGAAAAAAGTTCAAAGATTTGGAGGCAGTACATGCAAAGGGATTGAAAATGTAACCACCATATCATCAAACTGAAGAAGTACTTGGTTTTCATATTTTGAGGTTGCTAAATCAAGGCATTTAACTTTATGTTTTTATAATGATGCTAATTCAATTCTAATCTTTGTTCTCTTCTTGTTCATAGAGCACCTCTACCCTTCCTGAGACGGAAAAAGCTGGTGAGTCCTTGCTTTTTTATTCATTCTTGTGTCTTTAGTCTACTCACAGATTTCAACACTCAAATATTAGTGTTAAGTTGCGTATCTGTAGATTTCTATTTCACTATTTTGTCACGTGTTTTTGGAAAAAGTGCTCTGGTCTGTTGCGTTGTGTAGAGATTCAGACGTACACTTTCTGATTGATAGCCTTGTCCGGTGTTCACATTAAGAGCCAAGGAAGGAAGAAGGGGAAGGAGGGAGGGAGGGGTTGAATGGGGGAGGACAGGCTCTGGTTCTATCAGAAACGGGATCCAAGTTTAGATAAGAACCTAGACTCATCTTGAAAACCATCAAGCTAGTCGCCCTTTCGAAGATAAGAACCAGACTGGATGTCGTGTCTGATGCCCAAAACTCTTGACCTGTATTTATTTACCTTTTGGCCTCATCTTGAACTTACCTTTTCTTGAGATGTTCCAGTGATCAAAAGAATATTCTTATATCGAAAACAACTACGAATTTGTACTAAGATGTGTCCATCCAATAATACACACATGCTTTTGTGACTTGACTTGGGTATCGTTTGTCAGCTTACTGCTATAAATCTTCACCTGACATCCTTCTGATAAATAGCAATTGATCGTGAGAACACACCCACTGTGGAGAGACTGGCCCCGCTTTATTTGGCTGCGACCTCTCTGTCAGCAGTCTGCCGGTAATGCACAGGGTCATCAGGAAGCTATGGACAGAGCTACTTTCAGACAGTCAGCAGGGGAGCAGTCTTCATTAAACACCCCCCCGTGTCGTCCGTCCACTGGTAAACAATACCAGAGAGGTGGTTCGACGTGGAGACGAGGCATTCATCCCCCCCCCCTCTCTCAAATCCTGCTGGGAGTCCTCACTCACTCTCGCTCTGTCTCTCACTCTAATTACCGCCTCTTGCTGAAAACATGTCATAGGAAATGTGCAGAAGCTGTCATTTGTTATTGTGTGTGTGTGTGTGTGTGTGTGTGTGTGTGTGTGTGTGTGTGTGTGTGTGTGTGTGTGTGTGTGTGTGTGTCTGTCTGTCTGTCTGTCTGTCTGTCTGTCTGTCTGTCTGTCTGTCTGTCTGTCTGTCTGTCTGTCTGTCTGTCTGTCTGTCTGTCTGTCTGTGTGTGTGTGTGTGTGTGTGTGTGTGTGTGTGTGTGTGTGTCTGTCTGTCTGTCTGTCTGTCTGTGTGTGTGTGTGTGTGTGTGTGTGTGTGTGTGTGTGTGTGTATATCTTTGAGCACTACCTTTTGGTCTACTCTAAACTTTTTTAACAAGCGTGCTAAAGCTTGCAAAAAACGCACTGTGCCTACTTCAAAGGACTCAAATGTTCATGGTCATTTTTTCTTCATTTAAATCAGTCTGACTTCCTGTAAGCAAGTTATGTAACCTTCATCTCTGGGCCTGTGTGATGGAACCCAGGACTCTGGATGGTGGGGGGGGGGGTTAGTACGATTGGGATTTGGCTGACTTTTGGGGGACTTGATGAAGTACAAAGCCCAGTGTTCATTGAGACACATCAAAGCCCCCTCTGTATCTCCAACATTTAAGCCCCTGGGAATGACACATTTGTTGCAGTGTTACATCACACACCATGCCCTTAAGGCTCCTGCTGCTCTGCCATGAAAGACAGCTCATTCATGGTTAATTTGACTATCTGTGTGACAACGGAAGCACACCAGTGATCAACAAGAAGTTTCCACAGCCGATGCTCTGATATGGCTCAGTTGATGACCTCCCTGCGGCGCTGGGTGTACCTTGGTGAGTGGCCAGTGTCACAGCTTTCCTGTGCACGAAGAGGATGTGTCTACATGCAGTTACAACTGACAACCTGTTTTTTAGAAGTGTTTTTATGGAGCTCCTGTGACGCAGCCTAAGCCCCACGAGGCCTGCAGCGTGCTCATGCACTGGAATGGCAATGACATAACTTATTCCATACTTCATAGCATCTGAAGATGATTAGGACCGTCATGCATCAAGTTTGCATGACGATGTTTATCACCGCTTGGGCATGGTCGAGGAGATGATGCATGTAATGTGCTGGGTGAGTTGATACTCATGTACGATGTTGAAATCAAACTTAAGTAGTTGGTTTGACAGATTTAAAAAGCGTATATTTACACTGTATGATGGTATAGGCTGATGTAAACATGATTATAGATATGTTCCAATGAACTCCTTTGAAGCTAGACGTCTCAATGTCACCATTCTCAAGTCTATTGTGGACAACTCATGGCTGTTCATATTGAGGAAACTGATGGACAATAGAGAGGTCCATAAAGCAAAAGAGAAAACTACAAATGTCTTATTTTCTTCTTTGTTTCATACAATAAGAAAGGTTTGAGAAAGAAAAGTTATTGAGCTTTCAAATGATGTCTTAAGCTTGAACATACTAAATGTGGTAAACGTGTAGGCAGATCTATATGGAGGTAATTAGTGTTTCACTAAAGACCTGTCTTGAAATCAGTCAGTGCTTATCTTCAGAGGCAGCTTGTTTAGCTCTGTGACCTCACATCCTCTCATCCTGGATGTTGACAGGTTTACCTTGTGTGTGAGAAAGAGAGAGGACAGATTAGGAGGAAAGATAGGAAACGTGTTAATATTCAATTGTAATGCTTTACTCTGTGGTGGATAAAAATGCAGGATTGACTCAATTCATGACATTGAGACATTTCATATCGATTTATTATTGATTGAATTTTGGTTGTCCTACCAAACAAGCCAAACGCTTGACCCTATTGGTTCACCTCTACTTCTGATGCGGGAGGTGGATGATAGGAACAGTAACCTAAAAGTTTGGTGTAGGCATACAACCACAAGTTTGTAATTCTAGTATAACTTACACGGCCAACTGTGTTTTAATAAAAAGTTATTGGCATGGTCTTCAGCTGTCAAATGTCATAAACACTTATTAAATAAATCATGCAATGTTGTTTGGCTTAGTGATATACAATCATTATTGATTACAGATTATTTACCTGAACTGTTCAAATGATACTGGTTTTGCTGAAGCTACAGGAAGCAATTGACATCAAGAGATTACTTTCTCAACTCGCAACAGAAAAATGTGGGAAACTGAAGGTGTAACTCTCTCTTGTGTGTCTCTTTCTGGTTCTCTCTCTGCCACCAGTGTTGGAGCTTGTTAACAGCTCACAGCGATTCCTGGTTCTAAAATGGTATATAGTTTGTTCTCCCTGATTGTGGCTGAGGTTAGAGGCACCAGGCTGCGCCTTCCTGATCTAAATATAAAGCAGTGGGAATACATAAACAGAACACAATGATGGACTTCCAACCAGCAGCAGTTTTCAGTCCTGCCCTTTTACCTGGACTCTTGGCCTCATAGTCTACAGTACTAGCCTAGAATGTAGGTGGTGGAAAAGAAAACTGAGGGAAAAGGAAGTGGTTAAGCACCCTCAGAGGGGTCCTGTATGGGAGGCGTACTCCGAGACTAGTTATTTGGTGGTTCCTGGGAATAAGTTGTCTCATCATTCCTGTCTGTCTGGCTCTCCTTTTTTGTTTCCTTCTCTCTTGTATCCCTCATTTCCCTTCTACTCACCACCCTTCCCTTCTTGGAAGTCCAGTGACAAGGTTGTGTTACTGGTATTTAAAGCTGATGCTAAATGCAGCTGTGTTTTTACTGTTCACATACACAAAGTGACGCGTGGCCTGGGTGTTGACCTCTGGATATCCCAGTTGTTGTCATCGTATTATTACACACTTTGAAAGGTCCCTTTTGTTGGTGCATCAGCTTGACCATTACTCATCTTTTAAATTACCAGAAAACAACTCATATCTGAGTACCCAAAGGAAATATATCATTTAAAATGACTTGAAATCTCAAAATTTTGGAAATACAAGCTGTGCTTAGTTTGTCTGATTGTTATACAAACAGAAAATGTAGAAAACACAACCATGATGCTAGCCAGGCCAGCTGTTTTGCCTGGCTCCAGTCGATGCTAAGCCAAGACAATCATCCTTTCAACATTTGGCTTGCAGATATGAGAGTGCTCTTAATCTTCTCATCTTACTCTAAGAGTATTTCCTTAAATGTCAAACTGATTATTTATTGAAGAATGTTGGATATATACTTGATTACCAGGGTAAACAACAAACAGTCTTTTCAGCAACAGATGGTGTCTGAGATTCCTGTTTATCCAGAGATCTTGTGATCAAGCTTTTTGCTTTATCAATCCTCTAAGTGGGCATATTTCCACACAAATTTCCACTTAATTTGGAGACTGTCACAGATCAATTCATTTCAGCATTCATACTAAAAGACTTGCTTTCCTAAGTTGTGACCCGCGCTCCTTTCTCCTTGTTTATACCCTGCAGCAACACGCCCTTTGAGGACATTGCTCTCATCTGAGAAGGTTCTTTGACAGATCTAATGAAGGTCCCTTTGCCCGGAGCCAAGTCAATAAAGCTCATGACTGGTGTTACAGTAGTTCCTGTTACTTTTTCTTTGATTGAATCTGGCTTATCTCACCACCTTTTTGCAACCCCTCCATACACAGTACAGGAGTCGCTGCGATTGTGCAAGGTCACATTCCTAGCCCCCCCCCCCTCCTCAGTCTATGCCAGCATCAACACATCCCCCCAAACAGCCCCTCCTCTCCCTACCCATTTGACACACTCTCTCCCTCACTTCCTGTGTGGAGAGTTCATTTAATTTATATTTCACACTTCCAACTGAATATGAAGCTGTTGCCCTTAGAAAATCATTATACTTTTATAATGCTTGATGCATATTGATAAACAGATGCTATTGAGATCATTTTCGACTGATGGTGCAATGATGACATCATTCACGTGGGAAGGATTATTCTTGAATCATTTTTCTCAATTAATTGGAACATATATTGTAGGAGCCATATGTGGCCAAAGCCCACGGAAAAGGCCAAAGAGGATTAAGGAGAGCGAAGGTGGGCCAGCTCACCAAGAAGGTTAATGAGCTGAAACGTCTTAAAGAAAATGATAGCAATGTGGATAAAGTGGAAG